CCCCATCCATCCGTCCGTCCCTCCCCGCTCCCCCCCCGCACCGGGACCACCCCCCATCCATCCCCCCCCCCCTCCCCGCTCCCCTCCGGCACCGGCAACCGGCACCGGGTCCCCGCAACGGCCGCACCGCGCGCCCCGTCACGCACCGGGACCTCCCCCGCTTCACTCCTCCATCCCTCCCTACTCCCCTCAGGCAACGGGAACCCTCCATCCATCCCTCCCGGCTCCCCTCGGGCACCGGGGTCACCCCCCCGCCTCCAGCGGCCGCGGAGAAGGCGGGAAGCGCCACGCGTCCCCCTCAGCTCCGAGCGCTCCCTCAGCGCGGAGACGCGGCCGGCGCTGAGCCGGAGGCTGCGAGCGGACCGCCGCGCTTCTCCCTTCCGCACCACCGCCAGAACCCCTGCCCGGCACTCACCCCAGCACCACCAGCTCCCCGTACTTGATGGGTTCCTTGTTCAGCGCGCACAGCTCTTCCTGGCCGGGGGAAAACATGGGGCCGCCGCTGTGGCAGCACCGGCCGCCCCCGTCCGCGCCGCCGCCAGGGGAGCGCGTCCCGAGCGGGCTCCGCTCCGCTCTGCGCCGCCGGCCGCCGGCAACGGCCACTACACCGCGGGGGGCGCGGGGGCGGGGCCACGCGGGGACGGACCAACCCGCCGCGCCGGGGGGGCGGGAGGAGCGAACCGGCGCCGTCCCCCCCCCGCGGGGCTGAGAGTGACCCCGCCCACCGCGCGCCTATTAACGGCCGGCGGACGGGGCGGGGCGGGGCGGGGCGGGGGTGCGCCCCCCCCCCCCCCCCCCCCCCGCAGCAGTGGTACGGCCCGGCCGTGTTATGTAAACATAGAGTAAAGGGGACCCGGCCGCTCTTAAAGGGGCCGCGCACCCGCGAGGTCAGCGAGGGGTCCCGAGTGGGGGCTGTGGGTCACCTCAGCCCGGGTTCCGCATCGTCTGTGCGGCTCTAGGTCCCCTTCTGCCCACGGCATCCATCCAGCGTGTCTCTAAACCCCGGGTTGGGTCACTGCGGGGCCGCGTCTCCTCCTGTCCGGGCTGGGGGTTGTGCAGTGCTCCCCCCCGATCGCTGCAGGGTCCCGGGTCCGCTCCTGCCCTGAGGGGGCGGCCGCCCATCCCTGCGCCTGCCACGGACGGCCATGGTGCGAGTGCCCTCACGGTGCCCATCCCTGTGCCTCCCATGGACAGCGGTGGTGCGAGTGCCCTCACGGTGCCCATCCCTGCACCTTCCATGGACAGGCACGGTGCGAGTGCCCTCACAGTGCCCATCCCTGTGCCCTCACAGTGCCCATCCCTGTACCTCCTATGGACAGCCACGGTGCGAGTGCCCTCACGCTGCCCATCCCTGCACCCTCACGGTGCCCATCCCTGCGCCTGCCATGGACGGCCACGGTGCGAGTGCCCTCACGCTGCCCATCCCTGTGCCCTCACGGTGCCCATCCCTGCACCTTCCATGGACAGCCACGGTGCGAGTGCCCTCACGGTGCCCATCCCTGTGCCCTCACGGTGCCCATCCCTGTGCCCTCACGGTGCCCATCCCTGCACCTTCCATGGACAGCCACGGTGCGAGTGCCCTCACGGTGCCCATCCCTGCGCCCTCACGGTGCCCATCCCTGTGCCCTCACGGTGCCCATCCCTGCGCCTTCCATGGACAGACACGGTGCGAGTGCCCTCACACTGCCCATCCCTGTGCCCTCACGGTGCCCATCCCTGCGCCTTCCATGGACAGCCATGGTGCGAGTGCCCTCATGGTGCCCATCCCTGTGCCCTCACGGTGCCCATCCCTGCGCCTTCCATGGACAGGCACAGTACGAGTGCCCTCACGCTGCCCATCCCTGCACCTTCCATGGACAGACACGGTGCGAGTGCCCTCACACTGCCCATCCCTGTGCCCTCACGGTGCCCATCCCTGCACCTCCCATGGACAGCGGTGGTGCGAGTGCCCTCACGCTGCCCTCTGCCCCACCTCCCGGCCCCCAGCCCTGGAGCCACATCCCAGCCTCTTCTGCCGCGTGTATTCATCACAGTGTTCTTTTTGTTCCTTTTTAGGTGCGTCAAAGATCTCACCTATGCTGCTTATTACTCACCGCAGAGACACATCCTCCGGTTTAAATTCAACGCTTTCCAGGTCACTGGGAGCAATGCAGAGGTTCACCTGCAGTGTGAGCTGGTGGTGTGCAGGGCCTATGATTATTCTTCCAGGTGCCACCAAGGCTGTCTTCAAAGGTCCAAGAGAGAAGCAAGCTCTGACCTAGAAAGTGTGATTGTTGTTGCTGGCCCAATACAGCTTTGGGAACCTGGTTCTGAGGTTGCGAATGAACTTGGATCTGGGTAAAACTGTCTCCTTTGACAGCATCTTTAAATGCCTATTGAATTCTGGAAGAAACTATGCTGCTAGATTGTCAGAAGATCTAGAATAAATATTAAGAATGTGCTTACTGAGTCATGCCTGTTAATGCCACTTCACATCAGTCTTCTCCATATAACGAAAATGCTACCTCAGCAGTTCTGTGGGGAGTGAAATTCGTGATCTCTAAGCTTTTTGTTCGTTGTCTTTCTTAATGGTAAAAATGAAATGTTGAAATTCCTTTTGCCTCCTCTGGAGGGGACAGAAATTCCTGTCTGAGGGGACAGAAATGCCCTCACCCCCTTTGTTCTTTACTACTCTTTAACATCCTTCCCAACCCATTCCATGACTTTTGTTGTGTGTAGTAGATATAATTTGTGCCGTTTCTAGTATGATATATGTGATATTGAATATTTGTTAGTGTACACGTTTGTATTAGGAGTCCCCCCCACCCTCATAGGTGAAACCTGGTGTATGTTGAAACCCGATTTACAAATAAAAGGATGTGTCTCTCTGGAGATGGCTGTGATATGGGGATACCCAAGCCTGCTCATGAATGACCCAAGATGGATATCGTGGAAATCCTCAGGACAGATCCATGTGAATGCAGTGTTCCTGTAAATTCCATCAAGGGTTTCACCAACTCCAGACATCAAATTGTTCTACCTCTTCACCAAGAAAAGAAATCTCATCAAAATATGGGACTATGAATAGAAGAAAGGACTGATTGCTGAAATCTTGGCCTCAGGAGGAATTTTCCCTATAAAAACCACTTGTGCCAGGATGGAGGTGTGTGGGCATAGGGGAAAACCTCTGCTGAGGCTGACTCCTTGTCACACACCCAGGGCCGACCCCGGGCTTGGCTCTGTTCTTTCCTTGTGGCTGGCTAGATAAAATTCAAATTGCAAAATAAATATTTTATTTTTTTCATTTTAATTTGGCCGGACAAATTTTCATTTATAACAACTTCCAAGAGTATTTTTCTGCCTCGATGTCTGCCCCACTACCATCCTCTTATCTTCCTCCTTTGTCCTCTGCACCTGACTAAAGCCCAAAATCAACAAAAATTGGCTTGATGTTAATCCGTGCTGAAGATTGAAACTCTCATTAGCTGATATTTGATGTTTCCAACCCATTATCAAAGACAAAAGCAATGGGAGCATCCACCTTTGCTGAAGAGCATCCTTGGGGCCAGCACAGTCACAGCTGCTCCTGCCGAAAGCTTTCCCTCTGCCAGAAATTGTATTTAGCTATTAATTTTACTGGTAATATTATTTTTCTGTCGTTCCGGTGAAGAGGTGAAATGGAAAAACACAACTAATCTCGAAGGGCTGCAAAATGGAGATCTTCCCAGGGGCTGTGTGAAGAAGACAAGATTTTATTGAAGACAGGGAGCTGAATTATTATAGATTTATCTTCTTTATTGCTCTAACAAAATAGAAAAGAAAGCCGGGCCGTAAGTCACTGTCAAAGGAAACAAATAAATTCCCAAAAACAGCGTGGAAAACAAAGCTCCTGGCTGCATCCTCTTCAATTTCTGCATCTCTCCCCTGAAAGCAAGACCTTCCCAGCAGCCTGGCTTTCACATGGCATTAACAAACTCCAGTAATCTTCCAAAAAATGCTCCCGAGCAGCTCAGCTCAGATGGGCTTCCACAAGTCAGGGATGGATCTGGACTTAGAGCATCTTTTACTGCTCCCACCTGGGGATGGAGGGATGAGGAAGGACCCTGGAGGTCTGAGTTTGCCCCTCTTTTCCACTCCTTCATTTTTTAACGCTGCTCTTTTTGGAAAACAGAGGGAAGTTGAGCAGCTCTGCACCCTTTTCCCAAAACTAGATTTTTTTCCTAGCACACAAACCAGTGTATTTACTGTCATTAAACACAGAAGTGATTCCCACTCCATGGCTACAGAAAATGCACTGGTTTGCACTGCTGAAAATATTATTAAATACAGAAAATGCTCTTCTTGGCATTGCTGAAAAATGAATGTGCAGGGGAAAAAGATCCCAGTGGGATTCACAGGGGAATATTTACATCTGTGGTGTTTGTAGGAGGTGGATAAGCTGTGCTGCCATGGACCTGTGGTGGGACACTATGACATAAACCCTGAGCTTGGGCTGATCCATTACTCTTTTTCCTTGGAAAATCTGCTTTATTTGTCCACATCCAATCTCTTTGTTCTGCCCACAGGGTGTTTTAGCTTGAAGGAAGATCAGTCCCAGCCCCACAAGGTGTTCTGAGGGTTGTTGAGTCTTTTCTTGCCAAATTTTAGGTTTTCTCATTTCTATTCCCAAAGACCAATAGCTGCCAGCACTGGAAACCTGCTTAGAATTGTTTAATATTTAAAATTTCTACGTTTTGGCTAATGAAGCAGAGCCAGGAGGAGGCAGCAGCTCTGCCACACATTACACAGCTCCCTGTGCCACAAAGATCCCAACCCCAAATCCCAGACTCTCTATTTCCCCCAGCTCCAAAAAATTCCTTTTTCAAATGGTACGAGCAACATTTGGCTGGCGTTTTTCCCCCAAACCCATTGAAATAATTGAGAAATAAGCCCACAGCTGCACTCTGCTACTTTTCAGCTCAAAACATCCTTCCCTTTTGGATTTGGGGTGTCTCAGGGTGGCTTTTTAGGGCGCTGAAAGGGAGGCTGGGTTGTTTTCCAACCACAAAAAACTAAAAGTGGGAGTTACAGATAACTTGGAGCTCCTTCTAGGCTGCATCAATACTGAAAGAGGGATTTTGCTCCCAGGTTTAGCACAAGCAGCTGCTTGGCTGGATGGAGGGATATCCAGCCAAGCCAGGCGAGCATTAAAAATCAATGTTTGAAAAAAAAAAAATTCCCAAACATGAAGAAATAGTACATGCCCATTTATTTTTAAAATGTAATAAAAAGTTATTTTAAATGCAGGAAGATTAATAAGTCTCTAATTCAGCAAAGTACTTCCAGATGTGCTGGACTCTGAGTGTACTTCAGTGCTTTTATGAATTGGGGCTTAGGGAATGGGCTTCAAAAGTACTGAAAGAGGTTTTTAAAGTAAAAGAGGGGAGATTTAGATGGGATATTGGGATGAAATTCTTGGCTGTGAGGGTGGGGAGGCCCTGGCACAGATTGCACAGAGAAGTTGTGGCTGCCCCTGGATCCCTGGAAGTGTCCAAGGCCAGGTTGGAGCAGCCTGGGATAGTGGAAGGTGTCCCTGCCATGGCAGGGGTGGGATGGG